GGCGTCTCGTTTCCCAATCGAAAAAGTTTGGAGTGGCTCAACTCGTTGAAACAATTTATATGCATCCGAAGAGGTCCATGTTCCGCTGCGTTGCAGGTATATGTCCGGGAATAAAATATGCGTCCTCAATTTTGATGGCGGACTCCAGAGTAGCCATTGGAGAGGTGAATTTGGTAGAAATTAGACCTAGTAGCGAAAAGATCATACCCGCCGGATTTACGACCAGATGGCGGGAGCTCCTGCTTCGAATCCGGGCTGGGTGGTTTCTGGTAGCCATCGGTATTTTTACTGTGTCTGCCTCACCTCGCGCATCGAGTTTCCGGAATGTCAGATGTGGGCGCTCAATGTCGATGCAGAAAGTGGTAAAAGTAGAGAATAGTACCAGTACTCTTTGTGGGAGGCGGTGATATATACTTCCATCAAGTCTTGATAGTATTTATGAAACGAACTGGGTATGATGAAAAGGCTGGCGACGCAAGCTTAACTCAATTCATCTATCTCAATTCTTGCATGTATATTCAAGAGCGCCACCCGAACGCATCTCAACTCCAGAACGCGTCAGAGCCCGAAGTCGCCATCTTATCCACCGCATTTAGCAGCCGATCCGCCTCCTCCGACGCTACGGCTATGCAGTGAATAAGTCTACCATTGGACACGAGTCGGAATTGACGTACCCCCAGGAATCAGCTCTTGTGCCAGGCCTGAGATCGTCTCCTCCAGCTGTGGAGGGATCATTTAAATTGCGAATCCATGCATAAGGGGAAATTACACGCTATTCGGTAGATGCGCACCTTCACCAGAGGTGCGGGAATCTCCGAAACGACAACGGGCGGCTGCCCCGTCGCATAATGCAGGATCGTCCACGGTTCATCGCCGTAGACCTCATGTCCCGTCAACTGGAACTTTGCAAACTCCTCTTGCGTCTCCACCGGGCCGAGGTCGTAGAAATAGTCCGTCGGGCAGGATTCCTACATGCGTTCAAACCCAATCATCCAAAATATGATATGGTGGACTCACGTATTGCGGTCGACTCCAGGACATGCCGCCCTCCTGCTTTATGATTTGAATTGCGTCCTTTACACACTGCAGGAGCACAGCCCACTTCTCCGGCGGGACTGTCGCGATGCCGCGATGGTTGAGCAAGAATCCCACGGGGGTGGATGGGTGCTGGATGAAGGCAGAGCTGACGCCGCTGCCGCACATGGAGTTAAAGGACTCGATGATGAGCATGTCGCGGGCGCATGGGGTGAAGGATAGGTCGCTGGATGTCGATGACATGGTGGTGTTTCGCAGGCAGTGCACATTCGTCGCTATCCGGTCTTGATCGGCGTGCACGGCTCTGAGCAAGACCCCGTCAGTTAGGCCCATGTGGATATTTGGAGATATATTCGGCTTGACCTGGAACGTCCTGGAGGTAAGCAAGTTTGCAACGCCAGACATTGCGAGATCGGACTCATCGGAGATCCTGCCAGTGTTCAGAAAGTATGCAATACGATGTACTGTACATCTGGTGAAACTTTGCCATCGCATACTTTCTTTCACATCACCTTAGTCAAAAAAGTGCCCCCGGCGGCTAGTGGATACTGCACAGTAGGGTTGAGATTTTGAGGGAGATGTTCCGGCACTTCCCGACCCGATCAATGATGATGTCGGTGATCGCCAGCAGCAGCACCGCTTCTCAAAATTAAATGGTTGTTTTGCCTTCGTTGACTATACGCTAGCCAGCTCCCACCCAGGATTTTTTTCTTGTTCTATATTTTTTGGGTTTGCACCGTCTGAAATTTTCCTGGACTGATTCGAACGTATCGATCTACTGCTGCGCTGTTGGTCCGAGAGTTGAGGATGGACGAGACACCGCAACCTCTCTCTGCCCTGCACACGGGATTGGCCGCTCCTTGGCGGTTTTCAGTCACTGCATGTGTTGATTCTCTCATAGAGACGCAAAAAATTAATGGTCTTCACTCCTATGTGTTGCAGGTTTGATCACTCGCGGTCCCGAATTGTAGGGTTGGCGTATGAATATAAGTACCCCGACGGAACTCCGGAAAGAGAAGGCAGAAGAAGATCATTTTCTTGCGTAAGTTGCCCGCTGTTGATCTTCACCCCGTGACGTATGCATGGGAATGGCGGGCATCCTGCCCGTACCCTTCCCACGCGCGACAGCCTTATCCATGTTGAATGAAGCGCCCGGCGCGAGCTCATCGCCAAGGTTCCTCATAAATCGGGAAAGAAAGCCACCGGTGAATAGGGGGGGGGAAGAGGTATATATGCTGGGGCTGGTCGACTTTGCAGCGCGTAATGCGGTTCTTTTGTCTGGAGGTTACTACAAAAAGGTAAGTCCGATCTACTCGGAGCGCGGGATGAGTGTGACGCATTCTCAAGATTGGTGTATTCTCAAGATTGATATATATAAATGGTAATATTTTCATCTGTCAAAGGATCGCAGGCGAAGCGCAGCCTCCCCAGTAGAATTCAAACTTCAACTGGAACCACCCTGAACTTCGCGGAGAAGGGGATGCACCATCATGGCGCGTTCCCATGTCACAGTCATATGCGGCAGCATCAAAGAGGATCTTCCATTGTGATTCATGCATAGCCTAAGGAAGTACTCTGATGATCAGGACTGCGTTTCGCGATATAAACGAGCGCACTCGAAATATGGAATAGATCAAAAGGGCCTCCCTTCTGAGCGCTCATCCCTCCCTCTACTTTAGTTATCTCACGCTCCGAAATATGTTCTTCTCTATCAAAGCTGTTGCTCTTAGCCTGCTTCTCGCGCCTATCAGCACTGTTCGCGCGGAAACCCACACCATTACATTTACCAACGAGTGTGTGGTGTTCCTTGCATTCTTCCTATTTCATGGCTCATTACATTCAGTTGTGAGAGCGGATTCGGGACGGTTGGCTAATCACCCTGCATACCACTAATTCTTCCTAACCCACTTTTAGCCCACATTAATGCAGGGCAACGCTGTTATTTCCTCTGGCCTTGAGCCGGTTACAATTGATGGGCCTCTCATCGGAGCCATCGCATTTCTCCAGACTGGTATGAGGATCTTTAGAGCCGGTGTCAGTCGCAATGTCATGTATTCTCCAGGCAGATGCGGCGGGTTCGGGGGTCTACCTGGAAATGGATGCGGCATCGTTAACACCACTCTGGTGAACCCCTCCACCGCGGGTTCAAACTCCAGCACGGCTATTTCGTTGATCTTCCCGTGAGTTTGCATTTTCCTTCGTGTCTCGTTCTATCTCACCGCAAGCCCGACAGCCACGCTTTCAATGTGGTTATTGGATTCGAGTGAGCAGACGCTACCAGTTCATAATCTCGCCATGCTGAAAATCCAACACAGATATTTCAACGGGTGCGACGGGAGGGGTGCAAACTGTCAACGATTTCCCACATATGCCCAAGCCGTATTCTGATTTCATATCTCAGGCACAAACGATGCCTGTCCAGATGCTCTGCATGGTCCAACGGACACCGCGCCGATTATCACCTGCGACGCAGATAACGTTGACTTGGCGGTGCGTAATCTCCTTCACTGCGCAAGTTAACATTGCCCAAACATCGTGTTCAGATTTCTTTCTGCGCCCTGAACCTCACCATACCCACCGGAGAGCCTTGAACACTCACGGGGAACTTTGTAGAATACCTTCGATTTATTATCCCCTCCTGAGCTACAGCTCGAGAATTTCCAGAGTTTATGACATTTGAAAAGTGGTGGGAGACCTAACTTTCCATGAGCGCTCCTTCCCTGCCACTGGTATAGAACATTTAAGATACTCTTCATGCAAGGACGAGCACTGCGTAGGAGTTTGAGTGCGATGAATCTGGGAAACATGACCCAAGGTTAAATGCACCGAGAAACCTCTAACCCGCCTTTACAGATCAAATTTTTGTTGACAGTATTACTACTGTATTTTTCGTTCAATTCGGCAGGGGGTGTGACGCGTGACAACTTGAACCAATTCAACACTTCGACACGGGTCGATTTAGACCATGACATCGACGAAAATTTCGACACCGTCCCAGAGGAATGTAGGAATGTTTAAAACTAATCTGGGACCTTTGCAGGAACATATAGAGCTGGGCAGATGCTAAATTGAATTATTTGGCCGGAAATACTTATCCCAACTGGTTTGGGTTGAGTTTGGGCTGAGATGAGGGCAGAAATTCAGTGAAGGCATTGAATATTACCTTTCAGGATGCAGAAGATGCCCCGGAATTCTCCCTGGTCATTCTGGACATTAAGAAGGATTTTCCCCCGTTTTCCGAACCATGGATCCAATTCGACAATCACCTCTGTGACACGTGACAATGAACCAAAGTTCGCCTTCGACAGGACCCCCTGTGACGCGTGACCGCCGAATTGAACTAAAAAAAATACAGTATACTGTTTTAACCAGGTGCGCATTCACTCAGAACAAGACCTAGTGGCGGGAGGACCGTACCTGCCTTCAATGTTTTCCAGATCCAACATGATATCGCAGGAGCTCCTGGTTCGAATCCAGGCTAGGTCGTAGTTCACAAGTTTTTTTGCGGGGTGGGTCGAATCTTAAGCGCTATAGATTTAGAGGTTGTATTCGAATGGGTACCTGGTGAAGAACAATAGGTCAGGATTAGTGCATGGCCAGAGATTCCGGTCTCATTTACGCCACATTTTATTGTTCAAAGTTTATTGTGCCCTCCGACGCACCAGACTCTACGTCAAGTTGACGACAAGTACAAATTTTGCAGGTTCCCAATGAGACCTATTAGCGACGGCATCGCGCCTGCTTGCAATTATTCGGTGGTGAGACATCATTACACCGCAGGAGCTCCTGGTTCGAATCCAGACTAGGTCATGAAGTATTGGTCGAATCGTGTTTTTGGTGGACTTCCTTGCATTAACTTTCAGAATCAAGGGCGGGGTGGATATATTACGAAGTACATCGCACAAATGGTTACAGCATCTGCGTTATCTTCTGGGATTACATGGAGGTGTGTTCTATAAGGAGAAGACCCAGTGGCGGAAGTAATCGCACCTGCTCGCAATATTGTGTTCTTCCCAACATCAGACCGCAGAAGTTCCTGGTTCGAGTCCAGGCTGGGGCATATCTCTTCCCAAGTTTTTTTGTTGGCTGGCACCATCAAGCACAATAGACTTACTCAGGCAGAGAACCACCAGGGAGTGCAACGAAATGGATCTCCTGTACGCCGGGCGGGCGGGGGATCGTGGAATATCGGCTGAGCTGTCGACATCAAACTCATTTTACACCCTAATGTAGTTTTCTTCCTTCTCGTTACAAATGGAAAGGTTGGGAGAGAATTCGGGACTCTCGACAAGACAGCAACAAGAAGAGCGGTTTTACATCAAATCATGTTCGAACAGCTCGAATCTGGCATAAAGGAGATATAAAAACATGTCATATTCGCGACATTGAACACGATACAGCGCCGGTCAAGGTCGCGATGCGATGAGGTGCCCTATTTATCACAATTAGAGAGTAATATTCGGAAGGAAGGATAATACGAGACCCACTCCTGTTCGGGGGCATCACAGTTGACAGTGGTTCCGCCGCTATAAAACAAAGTAAGTCTGGAGCATAATTTACGATTTGTATTGCGTATCAATTCCCGATGACGGTGATGGGCGAGCAGCCCAACCCGATGGGAACGTTGAGGCCGCTGAGGTTGAGGCCATGGAGGGCCGCGACGGCGCCGACGGAGCTGCTGCTGGACGATTGCACGCTGGAGTAGCACTTCGGGGAGGTGGGGGCGTCACCGGGGTGGTCAGAATGGCGGCAGCAAGGGTCTAAAATCGCAGGAATGGTTAGTATGATGGAAGCACGTCGATGCCCGGGGAGGCACCGAGGTGACAACGACAGAGAGTTTAGAGAACATGTTTGTTTGTTAGAGAGCTTGAATACAGAGGGATGTGTTCGAGTGAAGATTGGGAGTCTCCCGCGCGGGCTCTTATAGGCATCGCGTCCAGATATTCCCGTGATTGAGCAGCACACTGCGGCCGCCTGAGCCCAGAAACATGTCGAATTAACACCGGAACAAGCGTCTCGAGTGGGGAGCGGTGGAGCGCTTCGACAAGAGAGAACAACGACACGTCAAGGGAATAAGCCAACTGAATTGCAGTCCTGCTCTTACGCGCGACGGAGAAGGAACTGTATGGGATTGTGTGGAACGAGTTATTATAACGGTTCGACACAACGCATACCACCTTTTCCTGCCGCACCCACATCAGGTCAATCAGGCCAAGGATGCTGAACATGAGACTTGTTTGAGGATAGAAATTGCGAATCTTATTCGTCATGTACGTGTCTGTGCGGATGGCGCTTTGGCACCATGCACAAGTATCACTTCCAGCCCAGTCCAAGGATCGAATGGAATTAAAGACGCGCAATCGGGGGATGAGCGCGGCTGAGAACATCCAAAACTGACAGATCCTTTTTTGAATCCTCGACGTCACTGAAATGTATAGTGTTCGTGGCGTTTTCCGCGGAATTGTTGGAGGACGATGTATATCATTGACATAGGCGCGGGGGATGAGCGCTGCTTTGGACGTCAGGAACGCGTTGGTGTATTTTGCATCAGTTCCGCGGAGAGAAGTTTGCGTTCTCATGAATTTGAAGCTGGATGGACACGAGACGAGGAAGGCGTCGGCACTAGCACGGCAGCGGTATAATTGCGATTGGAAGCATTCTAGGACTATATCCCACAACTCTGGTAGCGATTCGGTCGAAGGAGGTGTAACGCGGAGCAGAAGGATCTTGGGAAACGCGACCAAGCTTGGCGCAGCGGTAATTGCCTCCTGCACGGTGAGGCGAAGTTGAGGCGAGGTCTTGATTCCAGAGCGAATTTAGACTATGGTAGCGGAACAGACGGCAGGACGGTGCAGTGTGGATACCGCCCGAGATGATCCTGGTACGTCATCGGCGCGCGTACGCGTCACCGTACACATCCTCGTTGTCTTCCGAAAATTGCAATTGGAGCCGGCAGCCCGAGCTGTTTCTGAGTCTGGTAGCCGTGGTACAGCGATGGGAATTATTTATTCCCCGTAGAGAAACCGTCAGTGCCATGTGTAGTGAAAACATCGAGTACCAATGGAAGTCGGGTGTGACCGTGATAGTTTCGAATCACGCTGGGCGAGGGGGTGGCAGTGCAGCTTGAAGTCACAATCCAGAAGCTGGATGCACATTATTAATATTGAAAATCATGAGACTAGGATTCGCAGGGGTCTCGCTTGAAAAGTTCGTTTTTTCTTGCGCGATGTAATATAGACTAGGGTGTAGAGCAGTTTTGAATCAGAATCAGAATGAATCTTGCGAATCATTCTGGCGAAGGTTCCAAGAAGGGTGGCGACTTTAAGTTGGAATATTCAATCGAGGATTCTAACATGAAGCTAAGTAAAGAGTTCGTCATACTGCCGCAGACATGATATCCCGATGCGATCTGCAAAAGGACAGTTTTAGCAAATATCCTAAACCCCAAAGCGACATCGTGATCCCGACCAAAACTTCTATCTGGATTGCACTCGCACTTGCCGCGCGCATGGGAATCGCCCTCCGGGCAATGTTCGAACGGTTTGTGTGCGTAACCTGAGGGAGAAATATGTGCATGTGAGGACAGGTGGTGCGATTCAAAACGGTGTTGAAGGATGCGTACCGATGTCGTTGAAAAAGTGCTGGATAACGAAGGTTAATTTGGACGTGGAGGGAGAGGCAGACACGACGCACTATCTGGTCCTTTCGCAAGAACAAAGCTGCCCCGAACGTGTGTACTGGAGCGTCGCCCCAACGCTGAACAATCAAATTATAACAGGCCACATCAGCGTAGAGGGTTAATCACACCTCATAGTAGAATCCCTACAATGCAGGTGAGAAGTCGTAGAAGATTATATGGCACGACACGTACGCCTTTCGAGTCCAGAAATTCGAAGAATTTCGCGTATGAAGGGCTTCGCCACAGATCCATGTCCGCAATTTCGAAGTTACTCCAGACTGCGAGGATGCGGATGTAAGAAATTATCGAAGCAAAAGGGGGCGAATACGTGCAGTGACAACGGTTGTAATATTGGCCAGTTCGGTCAAGAAGCATCGCCATGGCGTTGTTGCGTACGATGAGTTCAGGGTGGAGGTTCATGATTCTGGGAAAACACATCTGGGTCATGGGAAATCGGGGAGGACGAATTGACGAATACCTTGAACGCTGGGCCATAGCGTATGTATCGTTCTTTTATCCTCCGGCAGTGCTATTGTGAAGGCTGAGGATAGTTAAGGGAGGATGGTTCCAGAAGTGGGAGGGTAGCGACCCACCGTATTTCTTGTCCTCTCCCTGCATGAAGAGGAACGGATCGTAGTCGATTTCGCAGGAGAAGTGGACATCAGGTCTTGCGTGGATTAGTATTTTCACGGCCGCGAATGGAGTGATTGGAATTCACTCGACTCTGACAAAGAGTCATTACCAGCTCGATGGAAATTAGGAACGAGCCGAATCGCAAACCTCCAATAGTACTTGAATGGTTTTAGAAGCTCGTGTCGGAAGAAGAACTAGGTATGTAGCATCATAGCATGCGTCAGTCAACATGCGGTTGATTGGTTTTTTAGAGGAAGGCGAACCCCTGATTGAAAGCGACACATATTCCGGTAACTGCGACGGAAGTTAAGTTGAGCAATCGATAGAAAGGGAAAATATTGTACGAGAGACTGTCTACGCGTCGTCAGCGCAGGAACGAGAAAAGAAAGAATGTAACCACCTCCGTATAGGATATTCGGATGCTTCTTCATTCTTTCTCGGACAGCCGATGCTTTATCGGCGTCAATCCACGGAGGTTGATCCCAGTGCTCGGGCGGTATGACGCCAAATTGTACTTGAGCAGAGCTAAGTGCTGCCATCTCGCTTGGATAGTATTAGGTCGTCGAGCTATGACGGTGCGAAGACGAACTTGCCGTTTGAACTCGTCTGTAAATGGTTCATCGTTGAGGAAAACATAAGGGTATCCAAATTTGCGGTTAAATTTAGCCTCCAGCTGTGTTATGCTAGCCACGACGCCAGTAAGGTCGGAATTGCGAGCTAAAGAATGATGATTATTCGGGACTATCATTCAATCATTATAATGCATACCAAGAACGACGATTGCCGCAGATGCTTTGGTGACTGTCGAATTTGGCTTGAGGTAATATTTGTCGGGAATAGGGGTTTTGTAAGGGGGTTCATGCCAGATCTTCGTTTGGGGGAAGGTAAGATCTAGATCATATACGACAGGTGGCCAAGGTTCATTTCTCAGACGAAGGTAAGACCTTAGGAAAATCTGTGGCGGAAGAGTCGGTGGTGGTGTCACTCCCAATTGCAGAGGCTGGACCAACCAGGAAGAGTGCGGCAGGGATCATCAGCAGCCAGCTGCGTCGTCGGGGCATGTTCTACGAAACCAGCTTTGAAGATGACAGTGGAGGAGAAAGAGTCGTCGTCAAGCGCTGTACATTGCGGGCAGCACGTGGGATCTAAAATTAGCTTCCACGTCACAAGCCAAATGACCACCACGAGGATAACCTCCCGTCTTTATTCAACCACAAAAATGATCAACACCCCTTCGGCCAACGACTGCGAAGACAGCCATAGGGCATATATTAGATCAAAATACTGAAACACAACATCAAACAGCATAAATTTCGGCGCAATATTGACTACAGTACTACGTATTCAATTACAGGGTGACCGGGAGGCAGTTAATGGCAATAAGACCGCCTGAAAACCCTGCGGTGAGTAAAAGTCGAATAAAAGAGGATGCGACTAACCCCAGGCCGGGTCGGGCGTGTCGCAGACCACAGTGGTGCTTCCACTAGTTGAGGATGAGAAACGGGGTGCGTGAGCGCAGTGCGGAGCGTAACATACCAGTTGTTCCCGCCAACGGTGATGGGGGAGCAGCTCAAGCCGATGGGGACATCGAGGCCACTGAGATCAAGGCCAAGGAGGCCTGCAACAGCGGCGACAGCGCTGGTGCTGCCCGACGACTGGACGCTGCTGCAGCATTGGTTGGAGGTGGGGGGCGTCACCGGGGGGGTGGTGGTCGGGATGGCGGCAGCAAGGGTCTATAATACGACAAT